AGAATGCATATCATCCGAATTCGGACATTTTTTCGCGATCGGTCATTAAGTTCTTTATTAAAACATTCATTGAAGCTTTCATTGTAATTCAAGTCCACTGTGCTGCTAAAAATTTTCATCCTTCGGTTTTGTGTGAGAAAAGGTTAATGCAATTGAAAGCGTTGAATACTTTTTAAAAAAAATGTCATTTGAAAAAGTAGCAAAAATGAAAAAAAAAAAAAAGGAAAAACATTTGAAGTAAAATTTAAAAGAGATTACCTTTTAAACATTCACCATAAAGAAAACTACTAGTCGACCATTTTTTTCCCCCTCTGACATTCCGTTTATCCATTCCAGAGTTATAAAACATATAGATATATAAACATATATATGAACATATATATATGAATAATATATATCAACATCATCATTTGATAAGACACCGGGAGTGTTGAAACAAAATGGCTATTTTTGTAGTGATTTTGTAACATGTTTATGTTATAAATTTTCTAAATAAATAATTATATATATATATATATATATATATATATATATATATATATATATATATATCCGAATGTAATGAGAACGAAAATAATACAGATTTTAGCATTCACAGCCTTAATTCAAAAGAGCGTTCAATACCAAGAACAGAGCAATAATTATTTATTAAAATTTTTACACACGGAGAAAAACAACTTGCTCACTACAAACATGCATTCTTGTTTCGATGCGACTCATGATTGACTTTCACTGTTCGAGATGCAGCAGCATCGAAACAAGAATGCATCTTTGTAGTAAGTTGTTTTTATCCGTATGTGAAAATTATAAATATATATATATATAATTATATATATATGAATTACATATATATGAACTATATACATATATGAATTTTATACATTATATATATAATATATATATATAATTATATATATATAAATTGTATGTATATATATAGTATAGATATATATATATATGAATTATATATATATATATATATATATATATATATATATATATATATATATATATATATATATACAAGTATAGGATTGGTGTATAAATTCCAATAACCAACAATTACTATTCTTAAAAGAGTGCTCAATACAGAGTAGAGCGAATATAATTATTTATTTAAAAATTATAACTTAAATATGTTATAAAATCACTAATAAAATAGCCATTTTGTTTCAACACCTCTGGTGTCTTATCAAGTGATGATGTTGAATATATATATATATATATATATATATATATATATATATATATAAAGCCAGAAAATACTTTAGATTGTAAGAATTGCTTTTGAGATAATGATTTACTGATACAAATCCTGCTAATTAATCCATAGCTAGGGGAGACAAAAGTGGGTTCATATCTTTCCCAATGTTATTTTCGCGTAATGAATATAACGAACCGGAATGAATTGGATCTCGACTCTCCAATTTAAAATTCCGAGCCGTTATCCACTACACCACCCGCACGCCCAAGCTTATAGCACCTAATCACCTATCCAGGTACTGACCAGGCACAGCGTTGCTTAACTTTAGTGATTATAGGAAAACCGCTGTAAGCACTCTTAGAAGGACTAGGATCATTGAAAGATACCCTATGTATTACATGCTCTTATATAAACAACAAATAGGAAACGTTTATCAATCAAACATGTTTCACGTTTATTATAGCTTCATCAGAGAATGAGATATGGAGAAAGATATTTTGGAGATAAGAGATTACTGATAAACGTCATGCTATTTAACCCATAGCCGGGGAAGAGAAGAGGTGAACTCATACATTTCCCAATAGTATTTTCGCGTGTGAATATAACGAACCAAACTGGAAATGGAATTGGAACTCGGCTTTGAAATAGAGATGGGTAGGAAGATTATGTTGCGGCGTGGGCCTACTTGCTTCGATATTCAGTATTGGAAATCCTATGCTTAAACGCCAACCTCTTGATCCGATGGGACCATGAAGCTAAATTGCTTACTAAGCAACTACGATAGATAGGTAGATATATAGCTAGATAGGTATGAACCGACTGTCAGATCGATAGATAAAGAAAGATAGACATCGAATAGACTGAGATAGATAGATAGATAGATAGATAGATAGATAGATACTGAATCAACTGATTCGTTTTCTACGGCTTATCAATCCTTTACAGGTTATTTAAAGCCAGAAAAAAATTTTAGATTATAAGAATTTTTTTGAGAGATATTAATAATTTAGTGATACAAGTGTTACTAATTAACCCATAGCTTGGGGAGGGAAGAGGAAAATTCATATGTTTTCAAAGGGTTTTCATGCGTAAATGAATATAACGAAGCCTACTGGAGTTGGAACTCGGCTCTCCAATTTCCAATTCCGTACCGTTATCCATTACACCACCCGCACGCTCAAGCTTATAGCACCTGATATTCTTAAGCGACGGCCCATCTAGATACCGACCAGGCACGGCGTTGCTTAACATCGGTGATCGTACGGGAAGCGGTATTTCGACGTGATATGGTCGTAAGCCCTGTGGAAGTTGACTATTCAAAATGTCCAAGTTAATAATCCAATTCTTCAGCCTCATTACCCCAGATTTGAGATATCACTGCATTATCGTCTGTAACACGAACTTGACAGTAGCTGATTTCCGGTCCGTCAAATGTCATCAAAAAAGTTTAGCTTAGATTGGTGCAAAGTCACAGAAAGGAAGCAAAAACTTCAGACCTTTACAGCCCAAACCCACCATGCCACCTCCACGGCGTTGAATCATCCTCATTCCTTTCGTATTCTATTTGAAAGACGGAAATTCCGCTAAGACTACTTCTTCCCAGTAATCGCTACGTTATGGAAGAGACACCGCCAAACATTACAGTTTTAAATTCCGGAGAATATAACGGCCGAAATGTTTAGGGTATACCAAAAACCAGGAGCATGCCGGTCCGAACTGAAATAATAATAATAATAATAATAATAATAATAAGAAGAAGAAGAAGAAGAAGAAGAAGAGCTTTATCTATGTAAAATGTGCGTGATCACAGCATTTTTACAAAAATGATCAGTTGAAAATGTCATGGAGCCATTTCTGACCTTAAGTCTCTGGTTGGGACGAGGAAGGAAATGCGTATACAAAAGAAATCCAAGGAAATAATAATAATAATAATAATAATAATAATAATAATAATGTCTGATTATATAATTATAGATACCTCCAAAAATTCGCCAAAAAACATACCACGATGAAAAAACACTTGATAAAGACAAATTTTTATCATTAAAATGTTTATGTTATTATTATGAGAAAAGTCCAAAGTATTTTTTTATTATTTCATTAAATTATTTAATCCTTTCTAGCACGTTCGAAATTTTCCAGAATCAGTTGTTATCTATCATCCCTATTCTCATATTTCTTCTTCTTCCTTTTGCAGTCGTGCTTCTCGCCTCATTCTGTAACCCCCTATTTGGTTATTGCATTAGCTGATCATTAGTAAAAGAAAAAAAATATTCCCCGAAAATATTTACCTACCTTTTGTCTCAGACTGGAACAAGGCCAGTCACTTAGGATCAAACTCTCTAAATCATCGAATTGATCCGTGAAAGGTGAATGCTTGGCAGTATTCTGAAGAGGCACGTGAAATTAGTCTGAATAAATCATTGTTTTTTTTTTCATGTTGCGATAAATTCGTGTCCATAAGAACGAATAAGGTTGTTTGTTGAGGAGAGACCAATGCTGGACTGACGTAAATGAACAACAGTCATCGTTCCTTTGTCGGTTTGTTTTCTTTTGTTTTTTGTTTTTTCTTGCTTTCTTTCTTGAAAGGTAGGCGGCATCGCTGACGTCACAGGGTGAACCGTTTCTTTGCAAAGAACCAAAGAGAATGTCCACTTGGCTGTATTGTTTGACTATGAGCTACACACATAGAAAGCACGATGAAGATATGAAACTAGGCTGACACTAAGTATAAGAAATGTATGAAACATTTTTTTTTCTTTCCTTGCTGGTAATGTAAGGCTGTTTCATATTGTTTATACTTGTCTCATCAGAGTGCCTTTAGAGAGACACTCGCATGCGCGTGTGACGAGTGCATTGGTCCTAAGAGCAAAGTAAAAAAAATAATGATAATTCCTCATTTCAAAAATTCATAGAAAAAATAATCAAAGTGCTGGTGAAAAAAAACAAATGGTACCCTAGCAGTTGTGAGTTCAATCTCTACAACTAGCAGTGCCGAACAGACATATAATCTGTTTGAATGGAAGAAATGGACAAACGATAAAAAGCTGAATAAAACTGCTGAACGTAAATGAACCAGAAAATATCTCTTAAACGTGGAAAGCAGAAAGAGAACACTCTGATCACGGTGATTGCATAAAGTGTTCGGTTCGAAATTCCAAGAATCATTACCGAGTACAAAAACAGATTGCTGAAGAAGGCCGGAGAATATAACGGACGAAATATTTGGAGTATGACAAAAACCAGGAGCATGGCGGTTCGAAGTGAAGAAGAAGAAGAAGAAGAAGAAGAGTTTTATCTATGTAAAATATGTGTAATCACAGTATTTTTACAAAAATGATCAGTTGAAAATGTCATGAAGACATTTCTGACCCTAGGTCTCTAATTCGAACTCAGAAGGAAATGCGTATACAACAGAAATCCAAGAAAATAATAATAATAATAATAATAATAATATACACACTATTACAATGTGCACCATTACAATGCCCACAGACAGAAAAATCAAATCTAATCGTCCGGAAATCGTGATCAAAGACCGCAAAAACAGAATGTTCCTTGTTATTAACATGGCAGTCCCTACAGATTGTAATGTATCTGAAAATATCAAAAAAATCTTCAAAATACAAAGATATTGAAATCGAAATCTTATAAATGTGGCACATGAGACCATCAATAATTCCACTCGTATTTGAAGCCGTCGGATTGATTGGAAAATGGTTCTGAGAGACTCATAGAAATGATTCCTAGTATCCCATGCCTTAATGAAATACAAAAAATTGTACACACAATTACA